AGTTTTAGCAGTATAGCTGAATACGCTCAAATATCCATTCTTTGCTAATTCATTTCTCTTAAACTACCTGATTCTTGCTCTCTTCAAATAAAACATGGCTGAATCCTATTGGAGATAGACATTATATTAGAGACATAAATTAGTTGTATTGGAGATAAACATTAGTTGTTGAATCTTTTATTTGATAAACATTAGTTGTATTTCCTTCTTACCTAGATTAGCTTATTTTTCTGCTAATTTCTCTCCTAAATTTCATCAGTGTATCGTGTATATGAAGACACATGGTGAAATAGAAAAACTTGCACTTTTCCATTATTTTACATGTATCAGAGCAAACAAGAAATCAATATTGATTTCCCAAAAACCTTCAGTCATGGATCCAAAGCCTGGAGACATGGATGGTGTAAAGACATCAGAACATTCCCTAGGAAGTTCAGCAACCACAAAAAGTTTGTCATCAAAGTTGATACTCAGACATGACCTCTCCTCTCCTATATTGATTTCTACAAGAACAAGCTTTGCTTTGTCGATGGATCTCTATCGAAGACAAAAGTAGAAGAACATGAGATACAAACCTGGGAAAAATGAAATTCTATGGTAATCTCTTGGATCTTTAATGCTTTAATTCCAGAATTACATATTAGTGTTGCATATGTAGATCCGACTTATGAGATGTGGATCGATTTACAAAAACGTTTCTATCAAGGAAATGTCCTGCGTATTCACGAACTAAAGCGAGAAATATGTCTTGCACAACAAAAGAACCTCTCTATGGCAATTTACTACACGAAATTAAAGGGATTTTGGGATGCGTTGGCTACATATTCTGAGGTTTCGTCTTGCACTTGTGGGGCTAGAAAGGGGATTTTAGCAGAGAAGGAAAAAGAGAAGACTCATCAATTCCTTATGGCCTAAATGACCAATATGGACTCATTCATTCCCAAATATTAAACATGGAGCCTTTCCCTACACTCAACAAAGCCTATGCACTTGTGACAAAAGAGGAGAAGCAACAAAGTCTTGTTGCAACTCGAACACAAATAGTGAAGGCAACTGCCTTTGCTGCTAAGCACACAAGTCATCCCAAGGCTGATATCTAGAAAGAGCAGTCACGAGGAGCTATCAAGAATAGGTGTGAGCACTGTGGTTTCATGGGTCATTCAAAGGAGACATGTTTTAAAATTGTTGGATACCCACCAAGATTGAAAAGAAAAAAGAAACTCACTAAAGGGGGAATAGATTCAGCCTCTGCCAACAACATCATTTCAGGTCCTGAATAGTCTTCGAATGGGGGCTTTACTCTAACGCAAGAACAGTATGGCCAACTCATGTCCTTATTATCTTCTGATAGAAATCCTAACATAGCAAATTATGTTGGTAAGACATCTCAACCCCTTACAAAACTTTTTGATTGGATTCTAGATTCTGGTGCTTTGGAACATTTCACTTCCAATAAATCCTCTCCTTTTGATATAACATCTTCAGATTATTCCTTACCTGTTAGATTACCCAATGGGTCAACATTGCTTGTACATTGTCATGGTAAAACGATGTTAGCCAACATCAATTTAAACAATGTTCCCTATGTACCCTCTTTCAAGTGTAATCTTATTTCCATAAGTAAACTGACAAGAGATCTTAATTGTTCCGTGACTTTTTCCCTACATTTTGCGTATTGTAGGACCTCACCTTGAAGAAGTTGATTGGAATGGGTGAATTGCATGATGGCTTACACTACTTTAGTGGGCTTCGCATACCTTTTGTTGCTGCTACTTCCTGCTCTTCCTCACCAAATCTATGGCACAAACGTTTAGGCCACCATTCCTTTAATTAATCGTTTGTCTTTAATTACTCAATTTTCTAATTTGTCTTTTAAGGATTCAAATAAATGTTGTGATGTTTGTCATCGTGCTAAACAAACTCGAAATTTTTTTCCTTTAAGTTTTAGTAAGAGTCAATCACCTTTTGATTTAGTGCATTGTGATATTTGGGGACCTTATAGAACTCAATCTTTTTCTGGTGCATATTATTTTCTTACAATTGTTGATGACTACACTAGATGTGCATGGGTTTTCTTGTTTAAAAATAAATCAAATACATCTAAATATTTCATTCAATTTCATGCCATGATTTCAACTCAATTTGACCGCAAAATCAAAAAAGTTGAAAGTGATAATGCTTTCGAATTCACAGCTGGTCCTATGTCAACACTTTTTCAACTTAGTAAAATTTTTCACGAGACATCATGTGTTAATACACCCTAACAAAATGGGGTCGTAGAGCACAAGCATCATCACCTTTTAGAAGTAGCTCGTGCCTAACGATTTCAAGCCAGTGGGTGAATGTGTGTTAACAACTGCTTATCTTATTAATTATACTCCCACACCACAATTATCAGGCAAGAGTCCTTATGAAATGTTGTTTTCTAAACTTCCATCCTACTCATAGTTACGAGTTTTTGGGTGTCTTTGTTGTGTTCATGATCAAAATAGATCAAAAGATAAATTTTCATCCCGTTCAAGGCCATGTGTTTTTATAGGTTATTCGATAGGTCAAAAGGTTATTGGGTTTACGATATGGAGTCACACAAGGTTTTTGTTTCATGAGATGTATTTTTTTATGAAGATCAATTTCCTTTTGCATTTCATAACAATACTAATCCTTCAAATCCAATCATCCCTTTACCATTAGATGATTCATATTCTTCCACAAAGGAATTTTATGATCAATCAAGTGCAACTCATGTATCAGGTGAAATAGACAACTTGACATCTCATATTGATCTTGTTCCACTCGAGTCAATCGAGTCTCCCCCACCATTGACCGAGGAGCAATCTCCTCATATTCCTATGCGGCCATAAGAAGTAAGACGTCTACCTACTCGTTTTAAGGATTATGTATGTCAGCTCCCTGAAGCAGAAAAGTCATCACCACTTACGTCCAATACAGTTTCTTAAGGTAAACCTTATCCTATTTCTTGTCATTTATCCTATTCTCGTTTTACTTTGTTGCTTCAAGCCTTCCTTGCTAACATTTTTGTTCATAGTGAGCCCAAATCTTATTCGTAGGCTATTAAGGATCCTAGATGGCGTGAGGCCATGGCACAACAAATCTTTGCTTTAGAGAAAAATAATACTTGGAGCTTAGAACATCTCCCTTGAGGAAAGAACCCAATTGGCTCTTAGTGGGTGTTTAAAATTAAATACAATTGTGATGGTTCTGTGGAATGGTACAAAGCCAAGTTGGTGGCAAAAGGCTCGTCTCATGCAAATACAGAAACTCGTCTCAGTTGTCAAAACAACAAGATTATGGAAGTTTGGTTTAAGGGAAGATGTTAGGATTAGTGTATCAAATGGTTCATACCTATGGAAGTTTGGTTTAAGGGAAGATGTTAGGATTAGTGTATGTAGTGATTCATGATGTTTAGATTACTAATAAATGACTTTAGCCTAAGCTGCAAGTTGTAATTTGTTACTTACACGTGTATTGCTACAATTTGCAATCTGTTACTCACGTGTATTAGACTTGTGTATATAATAGAGCTATAACCTTTTTCTGTTAATTAATGAAAGTCAATAGTAAACAACTTTACTCTCCTAATTTTTTTTTTCCTCTCAATTCTCATTCGCAACTTTTTGGTGAAGTTCGTATTAAAGTAGTTTCAGAAGTGTTGAAAGTTGCTTACGATTAGGAACATAAGTCCAACATCAGCTCGTGACGAACTGGTTGCTACAAACAACTCGTCTCATGCAAATGCAATAGCTCATGGCGAACTGGTTGCTATAAGCAACTCGTCTCATGTAAATGCAAAAGCTCGTGGCGAACTGGTTGTTACAACCAGCTTGTCTCATGTAAATACAGAAGCTCGTGGCGAACTAGTTGCTATAAGCAACTCATCTCATGTAAATGCAGAAGCTGGTGGCGAACTAGTTGCTATAAGTAGCTCGTCTCATGTAAATGAAGCTCGTGGCGAACTAGTTGCTATAAGTAGCTCGTCTCATGTAAATGCAGAAGCTCGTGGTGAACTGCTTGTAACAACCAGTTCGCCATGAGCTTCTGCATTTACATGAGACCAGTTGCTTATAGCAACCAGTTCGCCACGAGCTTCTACATTTACATGAGACGAGCTGTTTATAGCAACCAGTTTGCCATGAGTTTCTGCATTTACATGAGACGAGTTGCTTATAGCAACCAGTTTGCCACAAGCTTCTGTATTTGCATGAGATGAGCTGCTTGTAACAACCAGTTTGCCACGAGCTTCTGCATTTACATGAGACAAGCTGCTTATAACAACCAGTTTGCCACGAGCTGCTACATTTGCATGAGACAAGATGTTTGTAGCAACCAGTTTGTCACGAGCTGATGTTAGACTTATGTTCCTGATCGTAAGCAACTCTCAGGACTTCTGAAACTACTTTAATACGAACTTCACCAACCAGTTAAAAAAAAAAAAAAAAACTTCAACTCAGCAAATTCAGCAGATTCAACACTTAAATACAAATTTCACCAACCAGCAAAAGCAACTTCAACTCAATACTTCTGAATACTAGACTAACTTCAACCACCATCAAACAAATAAGCATCTTACAAAACTAAACTCCAAAACAACAGGATTTTAACCCTGCAAACTCTAATAATAGAACACAAGCACCAATAATAGAACACAAGCAACACAAAACATCAGCAGCAAGTTGTTTAATAGCAGATTGATTAAATTGATGGAGTAGCTCTAACAGTGAGCTTTTCTCTAAAGGTTACAAACTTGGAGGCTGGCAATGCTTAGTAAGCACATCTGCTTTCTGAAATTCAGTAGGAACATACTGAACTTTTAGTTTGTTGTTAGTAACTTGATTTCTCACATAATGAGCATCAAGCTCAATGTGTTTTGTCTTGCCATGAAACACATGATTTGAGGCTAAGGAACCAGCACTTTGGTTGTCACACCAAAGGATAGGAATACCAGAAAGTTGCAGTCCAAGCTCAGTGAACAGACTGCAAAACTAGACAATCTTAGTTGATCCTTGTGCAAGGGCTCGATACTCTGCTTCAGTAGATGACAGAGCAACAACTCTCTGTTTTCTAGAAAACCACTTAATTAGGTTGGATCCAAGGAACACATAGCAGCCACTGGTTGATCGTCTGTCATGCAAGCTATTGGCCCAGTTAGCATCAGCAAAACATTCCAGCTGAAACAGGTGACTTTTAGTGAAGTGAACTCCATAATTAGAAGTTCCTTTAACATATCTCAGTAGCCTTTTACAGGCCTGCCAGTGAAGCTGTGTTGGGGCCTTTAAAAACTGGCTCAGTTTATTAATTGAATAAGCAATGTCTGGGCTAGACAGGATAAGATATTGCAGGGCTCCAATGGTACTGCGGTAAAGAGCAGGATTATCAAATGGATCACTGTCATCAGGAGTGAGTTTAGAGCCAACTGCCATTGGAGTAGAACATGGTTTGCAATCAACCGTTTTGGTTTTGATGAGAATGTCCTTTGCATACTTTTCTTGATTCATGTAAAGACCAGATGCATCTCGGGTAACCTCAAAACCCAAAAAATATTTTAAAGATCCAAGAATCTTCAAAGCAAACTGAGTGTTAAGTTTCTGGACACTGTCTTGAATCAGCGAGGGAATATTTCCTGTCAAGAGTATATCATCCACATATACTAAGACATACATTACTTGATCTTGACTGTGGAAAATAAACAGGCTTGGATCAGCCACTGAATTTACAAACCCCAATCTAGAAATGCTGCTTTAAGTTTGTCAAACTAGGCTCTAGAAGCCTGTTTCAACCCATAGAGTGCCTTTTTCAGCCTACATACATGATAAGGAGTGACAGAATCGACAAACCCTTCTGGCTGTACCATATATACATTTTCAGCTAATTCACCATTCAAGAATGCATTGTTAAAATCTACCTGCTGAATGTCCCATTCATGACTCATAGCTAGACTGAGAATGACTCTAACAGTGGGGGATTTAACAACTGGACTGAAGGTTTCTAGGTAGTCAATTCCAGGGGTTCGCTGGAAGCCCTTTGCAACTAATCTTGCCTTGAACCTTTGGATAGAACCATCAACATTATGTTTAACTTTAAACACCCATTTACAGCCCACTGGATGCATGTCTGGAGTTAATGGATCCAATTCCCAGGTTTGATTAGCTAAAAGAGCTTCAAATTTTGATTTCATAGCAGTTGTCCAAGAGGAATGAGAAAGTGCTTCCAAAACAGTGTTTGGTTCCTTGGTATCAAGGTGAGAGGTGGAAATAAGGGTAGTATTGTGAGCTTTGGCTTTGGACCTAGTGACCATTAGATGAGTGTTTTGGGTAGAGATATTGGATGGTGGAAAGGATAAATCAACAATCAATGGTATGGTCTCAAAAGATGCATCAGAATCAATAGTGAAAGGAGAAGTAGCAGAAAAGGAATTATAATGAACTAAAGATAAATCATGCTTGTTGAAAACCTGATCATATGCAGTAGGACAAGGAGAAGAGGATGGAGACTGTTCAACCAGTAGAGTAGAAACAGATTGATCAGTCATTGATGCTGAAGGATGAGGGGTTTGAGAATGACTTATAGGATTATCAGGCAATACAGAAGACACAGAAGATGGCAGATGATGTGAAGAAGAAGATATCACATAATTAGGAACAGACCAAGTAGACTGAAAAACAGAATCAGATGAGGACTGTATGGGATCTGGACAAGAAGTTGAAGCACTGGAAATTTTAGGAGTGAAGAAAGGAAAGTCCATTTCATCAAATTTAACACTTTGACATATATAAATTTGACCACTAGGAGCAAGACATTTGTATCCTTTGTGTTGTAAACTAAAACCAATAAAGGTACATTTAGTGGTATGAAAATCAAATTTGTGATGGTTATAGGGTCTAAGGAATGGATAAGCAGCACAACCAAAGACCTTTATGTGAGAATAGTTTGGGGAATGACGAAACAGTTTTTGAAATGGAGAAAAGTTAGAGAGCATTGGAGAAGGAAGTCTGTTTGTTAAGTAAACTGCAGTTTGAAAGGCATGCCACCAGAATTTGAGAGGCATGTGAGCTTGTAATAAGGTTAGGCCTTGCTCAACAATATGTCTATGTTTCCTCTCTACTCCACCATTTTGTTGGTGGGTGTGAGGACATGGGTGCCTAAAAGTAATACCATGTTGAGCAAAATAAGGTGCAAGACTCCTAAATTCTCCTCCCCAATCAGTTTGAACACATTTCAAGGTTTAACTAAATTGTCTTTCCACTAACTTATGAAACTGAGTGAAGATAGAGTAAGTTTCAGACTTGTTTTTCAAGGGAAATATCCAGGTAAACCGACTGTGATCATCCAAAAACTGGATGTAATACCTAAATCCCTCAGGTGAAGAGACAGGAGATGGTCCCCAGAGATCTGAATATACCAAATCAAGAGGTTTAGCTGACTGAGAAGAGGACCTATGATATATAGACTGTTTTAATTTTCCAAACTGACATGCTTGGCAGAAGGTGTAATCAGTCTTGGATGAGTGAGGTACTTTAAGATCGGTTAGGATTTTAGTTAAAACTGAACTATTTGGATGTCCTAATCTCCTATGCCACAACATAACATCAGTTCTTTGAGCAGGAAATGATTGCATACCATACATTTTATTAATATCAGAAGCAACACAAACAGATACATTTTCATAATTACATTCTGTAACAGTACTGACAGGATTAGATGTTGTAATAGAACACTTATTACAATGCAAACATGGTTGGCCAACAGATAAGGCACAACCTGATAGACACTTAGAATTATTTGTAGATACTAAAAGAAAAATACAAGTGTTGAAAGAAGGCATTGAATTATTATCATGAAGCTGATGATGAACTGAAGCTGCCAAGTCTTCAGTAGAGTTTAAAGAAGTAGAGATTGAAGGTTGAAGTCGGTATAAACCATCCTTAAGCATTCCTTGAAGAAGAATTGCTTTGGAAGACTTGTCCTTAACCACACAGTAACTAGAATAAAATTCAACAAACACTTCATTATCTTTAATAAATTTAGATATGCTAAGTAGGTTTTTTGTAATTGTAGGGACATAAAGAACATTCCTAAGATGCAATTTTCTACCAGGACAAGATAACCAAGAAGAACCAATATGAGAGATTGAAAGGAACTCACCATTTCCCACTTGGAGTTGCTCAGTGCCAGTGTAGCTGGTGCTTGCTGTTAATTGTCCAAAATCAGAAGTGACATGGTCTGTTGCTCCAGAGTCCATGTACCATGCTGCATCCTGAACAGCTGAAGGTGTAGCAACATAATTGATTGCTGCAGGAGTATAGTTCTGATTGTGATTCTGAGATTGAGCCATGAACACCTGACTGTTGGTGTTAGCAAGTCCAAATGCAGAAGATTGATGTGTTGGTGAAACAAAACTAGAAGTAGCCTATGTTGAAAAATCCTTCAAAGACTGCACTAGTGATCCTGAATTCATATTAGCTCTAGTGTAATGATTAGAGGGTCCAAAATTAGAACCTTGTGACAGTCTTGAGTGTGGATAAAAAGATGGTCTTCCAGCAGTAAAATCAGATGATCCTGTAAGCTCGGCAGGTCTTGCAAAATTAGGATTAGCAAAAGCATGACTCACATTACTCCTGACTTGTGCATTGTTACCAGTAAAATGTACATCAAATTTGTGGTAACAATGCAGAGCTAGGGGTCTTGTCTTCCCACAAACTTAACCGACAAATCTGTTCCTACCACCTACTCTACCTCAGCCTCTTCCTCCAGTAACATGGCCAGATTGATATGGATAAAATTGATTAGGAGGGGTTAGGTACACAGGATAATTTTGATGTGAAGTCTGATTTGCTGTATAGTGGCATGGCACTAGGTTATATGTTTGCTGTAAAGGTAGTGGATGTGTATGTGAAGAAGACTGGGAATTTGTTCTCAGAAAAGTTTCATTTGCATCCAATGATGATTTGTTTCTGTCACTATCAACACTTAGATTGGCAACATTAGTAGAGATCCCATGAAACTCAGATTGCATAGCTGAGGTCAGTGCATTATTAGCTTTTTCTAACCTAAGCTCCAGTTTCTGCAAAATTATTTGAGCTTCCTGAACTGAAATAGGATCTAATCTAGACTCTAATATAGTAGTAATGTTCACTACAGTTGCATCATAATCAGAATCAAGACCATCTAAGATGAAATTTAACAGTTCATCATCAGAAATCATAATTCCACTTGAGGACAAACTCTCAGCAAATCCTTTCATTTTAAGAAAATAATCATGCATACTAAGATCATGTTTCTTTGTATTTTGCAGTAAGGTCTTAATATGTAGTGTCTTAGCTCGTGACTCAGTAAGAAATTCCTTTTCTAGAGTGAGCCAAATTTCAGTTGACAATTGACATTTAGAAATTACCGAAAAGATTGACTCTGAAATGGATGACAACAGCCAATTGACTAGGAGCTTATCTGTCTTCTTCCAGAGGTGATATTCCAGATTAGATTTTTTGACAACTTCAGAGGTTGGGCCATCTGATTGAGCTCGAATGAATAGTGCTGGACAAGCAACCATTCCGGTGAGATGTGTTAGTAAACGGTCCCGAATACGCAGCGGAAACGAAAAATAAAATAACAGGATCGTTTACAAGAGCCAAGATCAAGGGTATGATTTTACAATTTATATTAAATAAAATATGCATAAATATACAACATGAGTTAAGAGAAACAAACGCACGTTGAAGGCTCCTCCAAATTTGTCGACAAACGTTTTGCTACCGATCCAAGTGTAGGATCGAACCTGCGTAGTCCACACAAAGACAATCCTAAAAGAACCAAAGAGGGATTTGCTAGATCCTCTTTGGCTTCAAGATTAAGAAGAAAAAAAAAATCAATTGAATTGATTTTGGCACACACAAGTTACTGCCGTGGGAGTGTGTTATCAAAGAGGGGCTGCTGTGTGTATTTTGTTTTACAAAGAAAAACTCTTAATTAAAATCACACACACTTTTCCTTTTATACTTAAAAACAATTTGCCCTAATCCCATACGGAATAGGCTTGGGCTCCAACCCAAACGCCCCATGTTGCCAAACACTCCCAATTTGATTTATTTTAATTTCCATCATTATCTCAATTAAAATCAATTAATATATATATTTAAATATATATTAACATTTAACAATAATGATAATATATTTAAATATGTGCGAACACACATTTAAACGTAATTTCACTTATTTAATTTTTCTAACAAATTAAATAAAGGCTACGACCTCAGCAAATTTAATTGCACTGTGAAATTACCAAAATACCCTTTCGCCTTAAAAGACGAAAACGCCCTTCTTTCTTCTTGCATCTTAAATTGTCTTCTATGTGTGTGACCCTTAGGCTCCTCATCATATCGGCAGTGTATAGTATTGCGATTAACACCAATTAATCGTCTCACTAATACACAGACCAAGATTGGCCCCTAGCAAGGCATCATGGCCACCCGATAGATTCGGATTCAGCAAAGTAGCTACCTGTCAACGATATGGTTACCGTGCAATTCGATCCTTTCATCATACGTTATCTCGACGAGACGAAGGCATAGAAATAGTGTCAACCTTCGGTTACTCTCGATATTATTTATTCAGTTTCTGGACCAATGACCCGTATTATAAACTGGATAGAGCAACAACTCAATCC